GTAAGACAAATAAGCCCTTTCCTCTCCAAATTGCTTTTGGTGCTATTATCAAAGCAAAAGTAACCCTAAGACACATATTGTATAAAATTCTCGAAAAACAGTATATATAGTACTGTGACAGAGGAAACCACCTTATCAACACTACCCAAGTCATAAGCTAATTTTGACTTCCCAGTCCACAGTATTATCTTTATTTTAGGTGTGTGTGTTGCCTGCATTTATGTATATGAACCATGTGTGTACTGAGCTATGAAGACCAGAAGAGTGTCACATCTCCTGGAACTGGAGTTATAGACAGTTGTGAGCTACCACATGGGTATTGGGAACTGAAACTGGGTCCTCTGAGAAGCAGCAAGTGTGCTTAGCCTGAGCTATTTCTCCAACCCCAATATCTTTATTTTAAAGATAGGAAAATAGCACCAGAAACATAAAGGTCACAATGTTGATAACAAATTTTAAGCCTAGCACGCCAAGCTGTCACAACTTTTCTCCCAAGCTGTGTCTCATGTAAAGCACACCATTTTTTCAGCCAGGCAGTGCTGGCATACGCCTTTAATCCCAGCACTGAGCTAAATTCCCAACCCTCTTCTGCCTCTTGAGTACTGGGATCAAAGGCGTGCACCACTACCGCCCAGCAAACTTTTCTTGGTTCTATTTTCCTTCACTGTTGGCCATTTCAGTGTGTCAAGGCATATCAAACAAAATTGTGGGTAAATCAACAGCAATCAACTTTGGGACCTGTTAGAAATTCAACTCAGAAAGCCAGGCACAGTGGCTCACACACAAGATTCCAATTTAGGAAGATAAGGAAGATGATCCAAACAAGTTTACAGACAATCTAGGCAACATAATGAATTCCAGACTAACCTCAACTAAGTAAAATTTGGTCTTTAAGGAAAAAAAAAGGTTAAAATTATCTAAATCTAAGCCCTAAAACTAAAAAACTCATAGAGGGAAAATTTTATGTCATTAGATTTGATAATGGACATGACAACAGGCCATCCACCAAAAGTGAGACAGACAAATGAGATGAGCTCAAACTTAAGAATCTCTGTGGTTCAGAGGTCCCAACAGTCAGGTATGATGCACATGCCTACAATCCCAACAGTCAGGAGGCAGAGCAGGAGGACTGCTGCATGTCTGAGGCCGCCCTGGTAGTCTACACGGTTAAACTTGTGTCTTTTAACAAAAAAGGTGGGAAGTAGCCAATTAACAACATGAAAAGCAAGCTACACCATGGGAAAAAATATCTGCAAAGCATCATAAGGAGTTAGGAACTTGTAAATTGAAGTAGTTCTTTTGCCCCTCATTGTAGTAACACAGAATCCAGGCGCCGGGCAGCAGTGGCGCACGCCTTTAATCCCAGCACTCGGGAGGCAGAGAGTGAGTTCCAGGACAGCCAGGACTATGCAGACAAAAAAACAAACAAAAACTAAAAAAACAAACAACAACAAACAAAACCCTAGGGAGCTGAAGAGATGGCTTGGCAATTAAGAGTACTTGCTGGGCTCTTCCAAAGGACCAAAGCCCAAGTTTGGTCCCCAGTTACCCACATAGGACAGACAGCTCACAACCACCACCTGTAACTCCAGCTTCAGGGTATCCAGCACCCTCTTCTTGACTACATGGGCAGGTACACACATGTGACATACACAGATACATACTCATACATATATATAAAAACAAGCCGGGCGGTGGTGGCGCACGCCTTTAATCCCAGCACTCGGGAGGCAGAGCCAGGTGGATCTCTGTGAGTTCGAGGCCAGCCTGGGCTACCAAGTGAGTCCCAGGAAAGGCGCAAAGCTGCACAGAGAAACCCTGTCTCGAAAAACCAAAAAAAAAAAAAAAAAAAAAAAAAAAAAATCATAAAAGCAAAATTTGTGTGGCTACTAAAACAAAAACCAGGTCCAATAAGATGGCTCAGCAGGTAAAGATGCCCGCTGCCAAGTCTGATAACCTGAGTTCCAGGACCTTCTTAATAGAAGGAAAGAACCAACCGCATCTCCCCAAGACCCATATGGTGCGAGAAAACTGAATCCCCAAAACTGTCTTTTGGCTTCCTTTCAACACACCTACACATACATGCACAAGTAAATATATTTTAAACAAAAATCACAGAAACAAGTATTGTAAAGCTCAACTGGAATGCTTATCACTGCCAATGGGATTATAAAATGGCATAAGTGGGCTTGAGATGTTGCTCAGTCTGTAGAGTACTTGCTTTTCATACACAAAGCTCTGGGTATCAGTCCAATCCCTAGTACCACAAAATCCTGGAGTGGTGATGCGCCTCTGACATCATAGTATTTGGGAGGTGGAAGCAGGGGAAATCAGACTTTCAAGGTCACCCTCATATTTATAGCAGATTCAAGACTAGCCTGGGATAGATGACTTAATAGTTAAGAGCATTTCCTGCTCTGCCAGGAGTTACTTCAGTTCCCCGCACCCATATCAGATAGCTCACAACAGCCTGTAACTCTAGCTCCAAAGGATCCAATGCCCTCTTCTGGCTTCTGTTGGCACTTCCACACATGTGGCATACATATTCATACTCTCATTCTCTCATACTCATTCTCTCTCTGTCTCTCTCTGTCTCTCTCTGTCTCATCCGAACACTTGGCAGAGGCAGGCAGACCTCTGAGTTTGAGGCCGGCCTGGTCTACATAGCCAGTTTGAACTACATAAGAATACCTTGTCTCAGAAACAAACAAACAAACAAACACCCTGGACCTCAAAATATCTCTGGACCTGGGGACTCAAGCATAGGATAAGGATTGTGAACCTATAAGCAAAAGAAATGAAAGCAAATCTTGAACAGGCCAGGCATGTGACACAATTTCTGTAGCACTTACATACTAAGTTTGAGGCTGGCCAGGGCTACATCTGTAGCAAGGCTGTCACAACAACAAAACGACAAAACCAAAAAGAAAAAGAACAGTAACACTACATTTAAAACCACTCAGTTGTGTATTTTAAATGGATAAATTCTATGGTATGTGAACTGCAAGAAGGCAGATGAAAGAATTTAATCAAATCCTATTACTCACTGGTTTAAAGAGTACAGAGCTATTTGTCAGGAAGACCCAAATCCTGAGCAGAGGAGCCTATGCTCTTGGTTCCTCCAAATGACAGCTGTTCCCCCCACCCAAGGCACCCCACCACTGTTATCACCTAACAGCCTACTTCCTTATTAGGTCCAGTATCTCAGTAAAACAGAGTTAAAGGAGCTAGTACCCACACTCTAAACTTGGCAACAGAACCCAAATCTTCACTTAAAAAAAAAAATCACACAATGGACATAAACACAATAAATGTTAGGTCTCTTTATTTCCTGTCTTACTTTTCTGACCCACATATTTAAAAGAAGGATTTCTCTGCTCCTATGCTGGAGTATCTACTGGCCTATCTCATATGAGCAGAAACTATTAAATACAGAGCATTGTTTAAAATGTGTCTAGGGGCTGGTGAGATGGCTTAGAGAAGCTGGGTTTGAATCATAGTTCCTACAGTGGCTTAAAACAGTCTGTAACTCCAACCCTGGGGGTCCAACACCCTCTTCTGATCCTCTGGGCAGTAGACACACGGTAGTGTACACACAAACAAGCTGGAAAAATAACATATGCTTAGGCATAAAATGTGGTTGGTAAGACAAACCAAGCCAGGTGGGAGGTAGTGGCGCGGCCTTTAATCCCAGCACTTGGAAGGGAGAGGTGAGCGGATCTATGTGAGTTTGAGGCCAGACTGGTCTACATAGTGGATTCCAGGATAGCCAAGGCTGTTACACAGAGAAACCTGGTCTCAAACAAAACCAACCGAACAAAACCAAACAAACCAAGCCTACTCCCTACTATTAAAGCTTAAAAATATCACAGCCAGATGTAGAGACACAATCCTGTAATTCCAGCACTTGGGAGATAGAGGCAGGAGGTCAGGAATTCAAGATGGGGGTGGAGGGGCACATCACCAAACTGATTAGGATAAGCCTACTATGGTAAATAATAAATACTTCTTCACCACATGTAAGACAGGCATGGTGACACACACCAGTAATCCAGCACTTGGGGAGCTGAGGCAGAACTGCAGTGAACTTCAAGGCCAGGCTAACCTACAAAAGAGGAACCTGCTCCCAGGAAAAAGAAAAGGATATGTGCTAGGAAGACAACCCAGTGGTACACAGCATGCCTACCACCTGTGGGAGGCCATGAGCCATTCCCAACATACAAAAACAACAAACAACAAAAAGCTGAAGATTAAATAAAGACAAATTTTGGAAGATGTGGTGGTGTACACCATAATTCCAGCATTTGAGAGGTAGGTCAGTCAGGATTACACAGGAATACCCCATCTTTAGAGGGTAGTGGGGGTATAAAATTGCAACCCCCCCCCAAAAAAAAATTTAACAATCTCTAAAAGGTAAGATTTCACCTGGGTGGTGGTGGAGCATGCCTTTAATCCCAGCATTTGGGAGGCAGAGGCAGGCGGATCTCTGAGTTTGGGGCCAGCCTGGTGCAAAGATTGAATTCCAGGTCAGGACTACAGAGAGAAATCCTATTTCAAAAAAACAAAACAAAACAAAAAGTTAAGATTTCTTCCTGTTTGACTTACCTGTACCTTTTATAATGAACCTGCAACTTCAGTAATAAGAAGAGTATGTAGGGCTGGGCAGTGGTGGTGCACACCTTTATTTCCAGCAGTTGGAGGGCAGACACAGGAGCTCTGAGTTCAAGGCCAGCCTGATCTAAAGAGTGAGCTCCAGGGCAGCCAGGGCTACACAAAGAAACCCTGTCTCAAAACAAACAAACAAACAACAACAAAAAGTGTAGAAAAATAAATAAGACCGAGCAGTGGTGGCACACACCTATAGTCCCAGCACTTGGGGGGATTGTAAGTTAGAAACCAGCCTGGACTACATAGTAAATTCCAGGACAGCCAGGGCTTCACAGGGAAATGCTGTCTCGAAAAAAAAAAAAAAAAAAAAAGAAAAAAATCATCTGGCTCCAATTTTCACTATCTGGCCAGCTGTCCACATGTACAGTCACAGAGAAGAGGAACTAACACCATGTGAGATGGGCACCAATCCCTACAGGATTTTGAAGATTAAAATAAACTAAGGATCAAAATGAAAGAGTGATTTGACCAACTAGTAACCAACTGCAAAAAGATTCCTATAATGCAGGCTAACTTCAAGCCCAGAGCCCTTCCCATTCCATCACACCTTAAAGGGCAAATCAGCATCACTGCTCGTGATAGCAATTGTTTCATTAAAAAAAAAAAAAGGCAAGACAAGCAAACCTCTGGTAGGAGAATGTTCTAAGAGCACTTGCTACAACAACCTTGGGCAAAGAAGTCACTTTACCTTTTGAGGGCATCCGAAAAGCAAAAGCACAGAGGAGATGTGTCAACTATCTGGAACAGCCCCTCCTGGACCCTTAAGAATATCCAAAGGGTAAGAATGAATGAGAAAAGCGGCGACCTGTGTGCTCTAGAGCCAAGAGCCATTCTTAAGAGAAACAGGTGGTGGAGAAGAAGGAACCAAGAGGAACCATAAGCCTAACAGCTAAAGCAACAGCTGAAAGTCTCAGAAGCACTGCTTCAATCTTCCCGAAGTCATGATCAGAAGCCGCACTCACTCAATAAGGCTAAAATAGGAGAGAAAGCAAATCAGTGCAGCTGAGGTCTGTCCAGCCTAACCTCCGTGATTTCCCAAGTACACTTGTTAATGCCAAAACCAGAAAGAACTCTAAGCGGTGCCATTTGAAAACACCTTCATTCTCACTAAGGATTTAAAGAGAAAATGAAACTGTGGAAAAGGTGAAAAGTGCAATTAAAACCTCTTCAATTCAGAGAATCGAAGGCAGAGACCTTTCAAAGGTGAAGTTCCGGTAAAGCGTGCAAAGGGTGTCTGTAACCTCAACACTGCAGACATTATGAACAGACTACACGCACTTTAAAACTGATCAACAGCCGCCTTTACACAGCATTACCTCTGAGGACCAGAAAGATTCCGTTTTGCGAAAACAGACTCTGACCAAAAATCTCACACCTTCCACCCGGGAATCAGTCTCTAAGCCAATGAGACGCTCCTTAAGAGCATATGCAATGATCTGAGAGAATTAAAACAACATCCTGCCGGAACGACCAAAAACCAAGACACCACCGACTTTTAAATCCAAAGCCTGGTAACTAGCGAAGAAAGCGCAGTCAAGAGCTGTCCGCGCTCCTGGGAGCGAGATTCGAGCCCTGCTACTAGGCCTTGACTGGGTGAGCACCTGATGTGGGGGGTAGGGCGAGCCAAGGCGGACCCACTGCGAGAGCTGAGGGAGCTCGGGAGGTTGGAGAGAAGCGCTGCCTTCCAGGGGCGGGAATCTGGGGCACCCCCGGGGGTGGGCACCAAGAACACGTGGGGCGACAGGGTCAGGGAAGAGGCATCTCGGGCAGACAGCTGCGATCTCACACGGCGGACCCCAAGCGGAGGACTTGGGTGCCGTGCAGGGACCAAGCCCTCGGGGCCTGGAAAGTGAAGGCAAAGGGCAAGGGAGCCGGGGCAAGGCCACGAGGAGGGCGGGTCTCCCCGGGAGCAGGGGCACGCGCCGGGCCGACGCGAATGGGCCCCGAGTGCCGAGCAGTCGGCGGCCTCGTCCCCGGGGTGCGGGGAACCGGGAGCGACCGCGCCCGGAGGGCCCTGTGACCCGCAGCCGCCCGAACCGGACCCGCCCCGCGGCGCCTCCCTCCAGCCTCCCTCTTCCCTCCCTCCACCCCGCGGCCCGTTATCCTGCGGCCGCCGCACTCACCAGCGGCTGCACCTGAGCCTGCCGCTGCCTCAGCTGCTGCCTGCGCCTCCGCAGCCGCCGCCGCCGCCTCGCTGCTGAGGCCGAGTCCCGGGGGAGCCTCCGCGTCCCGCCGCCGCCGCCGCCGCCGCCGCCTCTGCCACTGCCGCCGCCGCCGCCAGAGCAGAACACCCCAAAATGGCGGCACTTCCGGCACCTACCACCGGCGGGGAGGGCCGCGGAGGAGGGGGCGGGCGGCTAGGGGGAACGTACCACCGCGGCGCCGCCCGCCAGCGCCGAGCCGAGAGGAGCGCCGCGCAGGGGCGGGCCGAGGGCCGGCGCGGCAGCGCCCCCTCTTGGCTGAGCCGTGGAGGAGCAGCCGCTCCGAAACCCTGGGGGCCGCGGGCGGAGCCCTCAGCCCTGGGAGCTGCAGGGGCGCATCTCTTTGTCTCAGAGCTGTCCTAGAGGGAAGACCCCGGCCTGGGAATTGAAGTTCTTGCCTCTGCGCACCGCACCTACTGGACCTCTGGCGGGCGAGCACCGCTGCTTGCCACTGAAAGTACTTATAAATAAATATCTGAGGAATGAATGAGCTGAATGGTGCTTGGCTAGCCCCGGACACCGGGCACACCCTCCTTTTTTTGCACGACAGCATACACACAACGGCATCCAGGCCTTCCTTCTTTGCTGGTATGTGGAATGTGTGTTGCAAGCTTTTAGAGTTAGGAAAGTGCCTTGTACAGAGATGACGATCAGCGGTGAGCATGCACAATCTGGCAAAAATCCCTGCGGCACCAGGAAGCTCTTGAGTAGTCTATTAAGAGACTACCCAGCCCAAACCTACTCTTCCTAGGGAAAAAAATTAACAATAAAATGTTTAAGATTCCACACACCACCCCTTCTAGGATTCAGGATTCCTACCCTGGGTCTAAATGAATTCACACATTACAGTTTGTTGTTTATTCCACAAAGTCTAGACAATGAAATGTAAGACAATGAAATGCAGATTGAGGGACAAAACTTAGTTCTGGGAGGTCCGGGTTCCATTAGTTTACAAATTACTCATTGGTTGGCAACAATTTCTCTTTATCACTTCACTTCCTAGAGCAAATAATTTGTACACTCACAAATGCCAATTATATTCTACCTTAACACACACACACACACACACACACAGAGCAAGCAGACCCCCCAATCAGAAGCCAAGGGTTTTCAAATGTGCTGAAGGCACAAACAATCATGTAGAGCAAAACAGCCCTTAAACTGCACATTACCAAATTACCTAATTGTACTGTAAACTTTTGGGGTTTTTGAGACAGGGTTTCATGTGCCCCAGGGTGGCCTTGAACTGTAAAGGAAGATGACCTTGAGCTTCTGAGTCTCCTGCTTCTGCCTCCCAACTGGTAAGATAACTGTCGTGTAGGCCTGGTTTTCTGTAGATCAAACTTAGAACTTTGTTCATGCTAGCACTATATCAAACTGAACGGCATCGCAGCAATGTAGCACATAGTTTTAGATACATTAATGATGCTGATAATACAAGCTTATTCTTTTTTGTTGTTTTGTTTGTTGAAACAAGTTCTATGCAGCCCTGGTTTCCTGAAACCTGCTATGTAGACCAGGCTGGCTTTGAATTCACAGAGATCCACCTGCCTCTGCCTCCAGAGTGCTGGGATCAAAGGCATGCCCCACCACCACCACCTGGCAACACCTTTTATTTGTTTGACTGGTTTGGTTTGGGGAGATAGGGTTCTCACTATTTCAGCCAAATTGGACTTGAACTCACAGCAATCCTCCTGCCTCAACCTAATTGCCTCAATTACAAATGAGCACCACTGTGCTCTGACAAATGTCTGCCTTATTAGTTCATCCTTATCTGACTACCCTATTTTATTTTATTATGTATGTGTATGGGTGTTTTGCCTACATATATGTCTTCTTCACATGCATGCAGTGCCCAAAAAGGCCAGTAGAGAGCTTCAGATACCCAGGAACTGGAGTTACAGACTTTTGCCAGAACTGGAATTACAGACTGTTGTGACCCGCCAGGTGGGTGCTAGGAATTGAATTCCAGATTCTCTGAAAGAGTAGCTGGTGCTCTTAACCACAGAGCCACCTCTCCAGTCCATGACCACATCATTTCGAATCACACACACACAGGGCAGGAGAGATGACTTAGCTCGTAAGGATGCCTGCCATCAAGCCTGACTACCTGCATGCAGTCTCTGGAACCCACATAATGGGAGGAAAGAACTGACTCCAGCATGTTCTCCTCTGACTTCTACATATGTGCCCACACACATACACAGAAATAAACAAACAAATAAATGTGATTATTTAACTTTTTATTTTTATGTGCATTGGTGTTTTGCCTGCATGTATGTCTGTGTGAGGGTGTCAGATCCCCTGGAACTGGAGTTACAGACAGTTGTGAGCTGCCATGTGAGTGCTGGGAATTGAACCTGGGTCCTCTTGGAGAGCAGTCAGTATTCTTAACCACTGAGCCCCAAATAAATGTGATTCTAAAAATTAAAAATAATAACTGATGTTACTAAGGGTACAAAAGGAGCGAGAAAGTTGAGCTGATAATAAGGAGATCTAGTAAGGTTATTCTTCCCAGTTTTCAAATTGCCTTTTTGTCTTCATGTTGTTGGTTCATGGGAATAGGGTTAGAGATGTAAAATGAATTAATTGCACATAAAAGACTAGGTTAGGCCAGGCGGTGGTGGCACACGCCTTTAATCCCAGCACTCGAGAGGCAGAGCCAGGCAGATCTCTGTGAGTTCGAGGCCAGCCTGGTCTACAGAGTGAGATCCAGGACAGGCACCAAAACTACGCAGAGAAACCCTGTCTCAAAAAACCAAAAAAAAAAAAAAAAGACTAGATTAGGAAAAGCTGGAGTGGTCATGAAAGATGAAACAAACTTCCTGAACAGAACAGAATCAGTAGCACAGACACTATGATTGATAATTAATAAATGGGACTTCATGAAACTGAAATTTTTCTGTAAGACAAGGGACACTGTCAATAGGACAAAACGGCATCCTACAGAATGGGAAAAGGTCTTCACCAACCTCACATATGACAGAGGGCTGATCTCCAAAATATATAAAGAACTCAAGAAACTAGACATAAAAAAAATAATCCAATTTAAAAATAGGGTACATATCTAAACAGAATTCTCAACAGAGGAATCTCAAATGGCCGAGAACACTTAAAGAAATGTTCAACATCCTTAGCCATCAGGGAAATGCAAATCAAAATGACTCTGAGATTCCATCTTACACCTATCAGAATGGCTATGATCAAAAACACAAATGACAGCTTATGCTGGAAAGGATGTGGAGCAAGGGGAACATTCCTCCATTGCTGGAGGGAGTGCAAACTTGTATAGCCACTTTGGAAATCAATATGGTGGTTTCTCAGAAAATTGGGAGTCAATCTGCCTCGAGATCCAGCTATCTGACTTTTGGGCATATACCCAAAGGATCCTCAATCATACCATAAGGTCGCTTGCTCAACTATGTTCATAGTAGCACTATTCATGATAGCCAGAACCTGGAAACAACCTAGATACCCCTCAACCAAAGAATGGAGAAAGAAAATGTGGTACATTTATACAATGGAGTATTACTCAACTGTTAAAAAACAATGACATCATGAAATTTGAAGGCAAATGGATGGAACTAGAAAAAAATCATCCTGAGTGAGGTAACGTAGACCCAGAAAGACAAACAGGTTATGTACTCACTTATAAGTGGATATTAGCTGTAAAGTAAACTATAGTCATGCCACATCCACAGACCCAGAGAGGCTAGGTAACAAGGAGGGCCCAAGTGGTGATGCATGGATCTCCCTGGGAAGGGGAAATAGAAGAGATCCTGTGGGTGTACTTGGGGCCAGTGGGATGGGAACCTAAGGGATCAGGGTAGTGAGGTGGAATGGACGGGGAGAGTTCTGAAAGAGATGACTGGAAAGGGGGACCATTTCGGGGTCAAGTAGAAACCCGGTGCAAGGAAACTTGCAGGACTCTACAAGGATGACCCCAACTAAGACCCCTAACAATAGGGGACACGTAGCCTGAACTGGCCAACTCCTGTGACCAGGCAAGACTTCCAGTGGAGGGACTGGGACACCAACTCAGCCACACAACTTTTGACCTACACTCTGCTCTGCCTATGGGATGTGATGGGGTAAGGGTAGTGCAGAGATTGTGGGAGTGACCAATCAATGACTGGTCCAGCCTGAGACCCATGCCACAATAGTGAGCCCACTCTTGAAACTGCCGGGAGCATCAGGACCAAGAAGCTGGGTGGCCCAGAGACCTAGGATACAAGCAAACACTATTGGAGAGAAAAAAAATATCAACATAATGATGCCTAACGATATTCTGCTGTACTCATAGATTGGTGTCCTGCCCAATTGTCATCAGAGAGCCTTCATCCAGCAACTGATGGAAACAGATGCAGAGACCCACAGCTGAACATTAGGCTGAGTTCAGGGAGTCCTGCTGAAGAGAAGGGGGCAGGATTGTCCAAGCCATAGGGGTCAAGGTCATCACAAGAAAACCCACAGAAACAACTAACCTGGGCTCATAGGAGCTCACAAAGTTTGAACCAACAATAACCAGGGAGCCTGTATGGGACTGATCTAGGCCTCAGCATATGTGTGACAGTTGTGTAGCTTGGTCTACTTGTGGGACTTCTAACAGTGGGAGCAGGGCTGTCCCTAATGCTTTGGCTGGCTCTTAGGAACCTATTCCTCATACTGGATTGACTTGTCCAGGCTTAATACAAGGCAAGATACTTAATTTTACCAAAACTTGATATGCCATGCTTTGTTGATACCCATGGGAGGCCTGCCCCTTTCTGAACAGAAACAGAGGAGTGGGTGTGGGGGGAGGGGCAGAGGGGAAGTGGGAAGGAGGGAATGGGAGGAACAGAGGGAGTGGAAACTTCAGTCAGGATGTAAAATAAATAATTTTAATTTTTTTAAAGGATGGAACAATTATATTTTAACTAGTTTTCTTTGTTTTTGTTTTTGTTTTTTGAGACAGGGTTTCTCTGTAGCTTTGGAGCCTATCCTGGAACTCACTCAGTAGACCAAGCTGGCCTCGAACTCACAAATATCCCCTGCCTCTGCCTCCCAAGTGCTGGGACTAAAGGCGTGCACCACTACTGCTGGGCTAAAATAGTTAATCTTAACTCGATAATAATCAAGATATTCGGATGTGGAGCATGCTGGGGGTATACCTCAGTTGGTAGAGGGCTTAATTAGCATGCACAGATCTCTGGGTTTGATCCCCAGCATTGCATAACCCAGGTGTGCTGGTGCTTGTCTATAATCCTAGCACCAAGGAGACAGAGGCAGGAAGAGTGTATCATCAGTTCAAGGCCAGCAGAGTATACACAGACAGTCATCCAGAACTACATGTAGAGATCCTATCTAAAAAAAAAATAGGGCCGTCAGGATGTGTCTGTGGGTAGTTGCAGCCAAGCCCAATGACTCAGGTTTAATCTCTAGAACCCGCACAGTTGAAGTAGGAGAGAACTGACTCCTGTAAATTGTCCTCTGATCTCCACAGTAACCACAGTAACCACACCACTAGACACACACCTACACACATCAGACATACACAGATAGATAAATGTAATTAACAAAAAAAAAAAAAAAAGGAAAGAAAAGCTGGGCGGTGATGGCGCATGCCTTTAATCCCAGCACTTGGGAGGCAGAGCCAGGCGGATCTCTGTGAGTTCGAGGCCAGCCTTGATCTACCTAGTGAAGTTCCAGTACACCCAGGACCACGTAGAGAGACTCTGTCTTGAAAAACAAAACAAAATAAACAAACACCACAGCTGGACATGGTTGATGTACTCCTGAAATACCAGCACTTGGGAGGTGGAGGAGTGGAGGAGGCTGGAGGGAGGAGGAGTCTCAAGTTCAGCCTAAGCTGTGGAGGGTTTGGAAGGCAGGTGAAGCTACATGAGACTTGTCTCAAAAAAAAAAAGGTTGGGATTGTTGTTAGCTCAGCCTTTCATGAGTGAATCCAAACTAAGCCTAAGTTTAGATCCCCAGAATTCACTTCAAAAAAGGAGAAAAAAAAATACAGAGCACAGTGGCACATACCTGTAATCCCATCTTCATCAAAATGGGAGGCAAAGACAGGCAGATTCTGGAAGCTCCCTGACCAGCTATTTTAGCCTACTTTGCAAAGTTCCAGGCCAGTGTAAGATCCTGTCTCAAACAAAAGGTTGAAGACACTTGAGGAATGATGCTCAAATGTCAAAGAATGACATGGTGCATGCACAAACACACACACAAGTGTACACATACACACATGAACAGGCATACACACATGCATGTATACATGTATACATACGTGCACACACATATGCATGCCCATACCCAGAAAAATATTCAAATTCAGCCAGTGTGGTTCTTACCACATTGGGAAATAAATACATTTCTTTTTAATTTTTGCCAGCTCATTATAAAGGCTATTACAAAGGGTACAGATGAACACACAGTGAAAAGATGGCTAGAGTAAGATTTGAGGGAAGAGCTGGGAAATGTCCGTGCTTTTTCTAGCAGGCGACTCTCCAGGGACCACCACATGCTCAGGTTTCTGGAAGCTCTTAAATAATTAAACTGAAAAGGCTGACCAAGTTGTGAGGAGCCGATATTCCTAATGCATATAAATATAGCCATAATGGAAGGAATAACCATTTACATTAAAAATATTCACCTTGAGCCAGGAAGATGGCTCAGCAGGTGAAAGCCTTTGCCTCCAACCTGATGTCACTTCTAGCTACACATTTATTTGGGTTGTGCACTGTGGGCACACACCTGTATCTAACACACATATATAACACACATAAAAATTCACATCTAGTTATATGAAATTCTACAGAACCGGGTGGTGGTGGCGCATGCCTTTAATCCCAACACTTGAGAGGCAGAGGCAGGTGGATCTCTGTGAGTTCGAGGCCAATCTGGTCTACAGAGCTAGTTCTAGGTTGGCCAAGGCTACACAAAGAAACCCTTTCTTGGAAAAAAAAAATAAAAAACAAAACAAAAAATTCTACAAAATGCTCATTAATCAACAGTGCATCTGTGGTTGCCAGCCAATGAAGAAGAGAGGACAAAGAGGCTCCAGATGACATCACTAAGTCAGGGAAAACAAGGACACTTCGGGGTGGAAAGACTGTGACCTGTAGCAGGAATCTTAGAGAGTCTTATTAAACAAAATCAAACCTGAGCCAGGTATTGGGGTGAACACCGGAAGGTCAGAGAGACAGAACAAGCCACAGCTAACCTCACCTGGCCAACTTCTCAGCTGAGGAG